CCTATAATGGCTTTCTAACCAACCTATAATGGCTTTCTAACCAACCTATAATGGCTTTCTAACCAACCTATAATGGCTTTCTAACCAACCTATAATGGCTTTCTAACCAACCTATAATGGCTTTCTAACTAACCGCGGCATCCTAAGAAAGTATTCTTCTCTCTTCTAAAAGACATATACGCTTGTAATTTGTAAAAGTGACTACCCACTAAAAATGTATAGACCTTGTAATGGTAAATTCAAATGAGTGATAGTATATCTAGAACTTACAAGGTTTAAGAATCAAAGGTTAAACGCTACATTCTTTAAAAATGGAAAAAGAAAGAAAAAAATGAAACATCTCCAGTAATCTTAAATTTAATCACAACTTATTGAAAACAATTTAAGTCTCCAAATAGTGGCTTTATAATGAAACAAACCAAACCCCACCCCGCGTGTCACAAATAAATTGTGTTAACAAATGATCCTCTCGGATAATGCAGTGCAGCTAAGTGTTGCTTTTTTAAAATATTTTTTTCCTTGTTATTGTGTCACTGAAGAAGGCTTCTTGCCGACACGTTTGTTGTTTTGTTGCGTCTTTTTACGCAGTTTTTTCCCACATTAGTTTCTACTCTTCCATTTATATATATAGAAAGTCGATCGTTTGCACTGTGTGCAAACACAGTGTCGGACCGACCGGGTGTCTTTGGGTTAGGACGGCCCCCCGGCGGAGACCCTAGTCGAGCAGACTCGGGTGGGGGCCGTCCTGACAAAGGGACATCCCGACGTGCCGCTCCGCGGCCCGATACCGGGTTGGGGAGGGGTGTTTTGGGGAGGGCATAAAGAGTGCAAGCTCGACGGCCCGCTGACGCCATTTCTTAATGTAACATTTCAGTAGGCATACCATGCATATAGCATTTTAAAATAGGTTTGGTTTCTGAACTAAAAAATATATCCACTCCTGGGGCCGGGTGATTTTTTTAGAATTATACAGAAAAATCAATATTTTCCTTTTAGACGCAAAGATTAAGGAAATATCTATGGGATCTAAATATTTATGAAAACATTAGTTTATTTTTATAATATCCCCATATTTTAGTAGGAATTTCCTCGATGTCAGTGAATTAATCTTTTATAAACTTATGGAGGTTTCTCTTTCATTGAAGGGCACTCGAATTTTTAAAAAAATGTTTTTAAGTTTCAATACATAACATTTTTATTGGTCAAATGCTTTTATATACGGCTTAAAAATGTTCATTACATTTTATCAACTCAGTTTTAAAGATATTTTTAACGTTTTTAGAAAGTAATAACACACACTAAGTTTTTGCTATGCACCTAAATTTTATTTTAAACAAATGCGATATCTTTTTGGATTTTAATGGGTCAAGTCTACAACATGGAGCGGTCGTTATCCAACCTATACAACTCAATGACGTAAAATATTAAAGATTTAAAACAATCGAAAAAAATTAATTGACACACTCTTTGGCAAATTCCGACAGAATTTTATAGGAGCAATTTGAAAATTTAGCTTGCATATTTATCTGAATGACTTTTATAGAGTCCCAAAATTAAGGATAAATTAAGTGGCCACCTTTTCGAATGGGCACCAAGTAAGACAACTATTTTACTTTAATTGATAAACGGCTATAGCTTTGGTATTTGTAAACAACTTTTTTTGTTTATAAACACATCTTTTAAAGGTTAGAATGATCTTTACAATTTCCTGGTCCTTAAATTCAATATTAACAAGATTTTTTTTTTAAATCCGGATATTATAGAGAAGAAATCTGTAATTTTTTCTTGTCACTTTAACTAATTGTTTATTTTCTTAACTTTTCAAGGATTTAAGGATGTTTGCTGATATAATTTTTTTTCGAATGCAAAAAACCCAAGCTAAGCCAGAGTATATTGGCAAGCGTCTTATATTTCGAATATAATCAATGACATTCTATTGCGATAACTCACGTTTGTTCTAATATATTTTCAAGTATATTTCACCATTTGGTTAAATTTTTAGAGAATGAAATGATGTTAATGACGTAATGTTAAAATTATTTATATATAAACCATCAGTAGCAAACATGAATCGAATACAAACTTTGGACGTCAATAAACACATAGGATATCAGAAACACAACTATATTTGTTTAAAAACAATGATGTTTGAATTTTAATTGATGTTTTTATCTATGGTAATATTAACAAAAATGTTTATTAGGGCATGAGTTCAATAACTTAATTTTGGATATATATATTGTTAAAAGTAGAAATAATCAATGATGAAGTTATCAATAAAGCGATAAAAACATCTTTAAATTTAATTTTAAAGTTTACTTTGTGTACAATGATGATCTTATTTAGTTGATGACTTTATATAATTCACAGCAGTCTACACTCCTGGTTTTCCTCCCTAGAATAGCCTTGAAGGTATCTCGTTAGATCCACAACCTCATCATTCACAGCATTACCCTCGTCTTGCTCCTCCTCGACCTCCTCAGCCCCATTATTATCATCATCGTCACTATCATCATCGCTATCATCAGTATCATCATCGTCAATATCATTATCGCTATCATCGCTGTCACCATCTTTGTCACTGTCATCATCGTTGTGGCTATCAGCCGAACTGTCATCAATGTCGCCATCATCGCTAGGTTGATTGCGATACATCCATGTTCTTAATTTACGTTGGTATAAAAATTGGTTCAAATGGTCAAGTGTGTCAACTCTGTTGCATTCATTGTCATCTTCATCTTCACTAGTTGACGTATCGTCTTCCGTTTCATCACTGTCATCTCTTTCCGTTTGTTGAAAAAAACCGCGGCGGTAACTTCCAAAAGTGTAATGTGGGTTTGCAAATGGAGATCTCGTCATGGGAAGCTCAACGGTCGTCATCAAATTTAACGAGGGCGACCTTATGTGTTGACTTCGTGTCGCCTTGTCAAGCTCATGAACACCATATGTTCTAATCCCGCCGTCTTGAAGTTTCATTACTTCTTGAATTAGCTCATTTCTCTGAGATTTTTGCACTGATCCCTCTTTAGACACGTTATCAAAAAGCACGCACCTTTGACCGCATTCGTTCAAAAGATCAAGGAAAGCGCCACTCTGCTCCGAGCACCATTCCTTAAACGATCCGATCTCTCCGTTTTCGATATCCCACCGAAGAGCGTCCCCGTACGTAATAGCACACACGCCGTGGTCCTGTATGACTCGTTTCCCAAGAATCGATTTTAAGACTTCTATGGACTCACGATCTTCTTCCGTAAAGCGATTTCCGAAACGGATGACCAAAACGATTCCGTGGAAGCCACCATGAGAAAGACGGATCGCCTTGTTGATCCAGTCCCTGGCCTTCGTGACGTTCTCTTCCTTGTCGAACTGAGTGTCCGAAAGACCAGGGACATCCGTCACCGATATGGTCTGTCCGTCGATCACGGATGTTTCAAGCTTAGGTTCAAAGGTCACTGACGTGGTGCTACTTTTGCTGACAAAAACTTTTTTCCCAAGTATCGAGTTGCCGGTCGAGCTTTTCCCATTTCCAGTCTTTCCGACAAGAAGCAGGTTGACATGCTGTAGGAAATGAGGATACGATGTGGCCATTCTCTGTAGAACGTCGATAGAAAATTAAGAAAGAATAACAACAAATAGTATAAATATAATAGTTATCCTAATATAATATAAGTATATTATTAACTTAAAATGTGATCGGATTTTGCCTACTCATGACGGCCACCATAGTGTACCTTAATCAATATTAAAACTTAAACTCACATGTTTTTACCATGCCCCTCCAACACCTGAATATGCAGTTTTTTGTTTTTTTTAAATTGCTCTGTACAATGACGCCTCCAGTAATTAACAATTTAACAAGCCGAACAAGTTTTAGTTTTGTCCCCTCCCCCTGAAAAAACCTGAAATGACGTTCTGATACCATTAACTATTAAATTAATTCACATATTTAACTCTGTAATGTTCTAAAAAAGTTTATTAATGTTTTCATAAAAATGAAACAATAACAACAGTTTTACATTAAAAGCTGAAGGTCAGTTTGACGAGTTTAAATGTTACGTATTATAATAACAATCTTTAAAGCTAATCCAAATCCTGTGGTCAGATTGTATATTTCGTACATTCGGTTAAATGTTCTTTTTCCACAAATTAATGACGATTCTGACATTCAGACACAGTGTTTAGATTTATCTTTACCTGAAACGTCTTAAATAAATAATGCACAATATTTAGTAAAAAAAACTTACTGATATAGAATGAAGACTAAACGTCAAAACAGATCGATTTTCAAAATTTGTGGAACATTTTGGTTGTCATTACCGATTACGTATTTTTCCGGGAAAACTGTTTACAGTTCTCAGAAACGCAGCTCCTGGGGAAAATGAACGTTGATCGCGTTCCTGGAAAGGGAATTTTCTTGAGAAAATTGAAAGATACGATGGTGCACAGGTATTTTAAAAGATGTTTAACATCTTTCTCGGTACACCAGTCATTATTTCAACTGAAATTTGCAGTGGTGCACAACATTTTTATTGTTAAACGTTTCCCTCACCCCATTTCAGATCGTATTTCCCGAAAGCCGACGATTAAATTCACACACACACACACACACACACACACACACACACACACACACACACACACATGCACATACACACACGCGAACACACACACACAAACTGATCTTCAGTCTCCTTCTACACCTCATCACTCTAGGGTGTTCGGGGTACCCCCAGCAGTACGTGCACCACTGGTTGAAAACCCCTGGGTTTAGATATCACTTAAATATTTGAACTCATGTTTAGGTATCTTTCGTAATGTTGAGTGTGAACATTCGAGGTAGTGGTGTTCATATCAAATGAAATATGACAGCTAGATCAAACCCAGTGTTACTTTAACTGAGAAATGACAAGTAGCCTACCACAATATTGAAAGGAAGAGTATATGATTAAAATTAAAATCTACCACTGAAATCCAAATGGAGATGGGTGATTATATAACAAAAAAAGAGGCTTCCATTTTCGAAATAAGTTTGCTGATTGTAATATAAGTTCAAATATAAATTTCAATAAAACATTTGTTTATATTGGTTTACATATATATTAATATACATAATTTTATAAACTTATTTAACCTACATGAATTAACATGACTTATCCAGATGTGTCATAAGGCTGTTGTAATGTGTTCAACTATCTTATTATATTATCAACAAATTATTAGTTACCATTCGTCTATAAATGTTGGCTGCAAAGGGGTGGGGGATGAGGTGGGGTGGGTTAATGCTCAGTCCTAACAAGGATAAATAAAAATGTTCAGTTTATTCAAAAGTATTCTTTATACTCATAAATTAAATTTACATATTAGACTCGTAGTCTTCTAATAGTTTTGTTATATTTTTTTTAAAAATGGACACTGTTATGACTTGAGTGGTTCATCGCGATGATTGTAATAAGGATGTATTGAAGTGGTTTGAAATGTTATCTAAGAGCGAGAGCCATACCAATGTTATAAACATGAGTAAATGTTTCCAGGGGGAAAAAAAACACATATTTTTATACTTGACAAATAAAGCTAAGCACCTCCACGTAATGCATATATTTTATATTCTTGGAAGCAGGTTACCGGTTGAAATATAATCATTACATCCTCCACTAGAAAAACCTGCTTACCCAGAATGTAAGCCACTGAGTTCATTACATGTGGTAAATTAATGCCCCGGAAGAGAGCTACACATTGAGATTATCTATTGTTTTTTTCTGACTTCTTTTAATAAAATATTTTTATGCTATAAAGGCTTATACTTTTTTACCACACCATTGCGGTAAATCAGACATGAAATAATTAAACTCAAATATTTTGTAAAAATAGATTTAATATCGGACAACTGGTACATTTTATTCCAAACACGTAACAACTTAAAAAGAGAACTAGACACAGCACAACCCTGTAATGACTAAAATTAGTTGGCTAACGCTTTAAAAAATATATATATGTAATGGAAATTACCTTAATAAACAAAGTGAACTTTAAATAGAAGTGTTTATTACTTATGACACAAATACTACATTACACATACACAATTGAGAAAAGAAATGTTCTAATAGAAAATCATTATATATCTTACAAGTATACTATTAGGTGATACGTTTTGATAGATAATATAACACAATCAAATCATTTATACAATTTTAAATAATTTTAACAATTAAATTAATTTAAAACATAGAAATCGAAAACAAATTTTACTCAAACGTAATCAAAAGTTTCTATTTAAAATTCTTGAAGAAAAAACTCACGTCACTTGTCTCATAGACCATTTGAATATTCATAATTTATCACATACTTTAAGTTGTTTCATATGTGTTGTATCATAATAATGCTTTCATAAACTGGTAGCCATAAAAGCTATAAAAATCTACAGCTTTGAGCTTAAGCATCTAGAAAGTACTAGACATTATTGAGAACTAACGTCACGTCAATCAAAAACGATGTGTGCATACAAAATTCTACTCTAATTGTAAATATTAATCTTTATAAAAGAACACTTATTCAATATATTTTTTAACAACTTCCTTTAAACCTTAAATTAAACCGAGTACTAGTAATCAATAATTATATTATGTTATATTTTAATACAATAACAAAATTGACATGATATTAATTATAAATTGTCATATTAACTGAAGAATCGTCTAAAGAATCTTCAGACGAAAATATAACAGTTCACACCGAAGCCAATTTTTTAAAAAAAATATATAATCGGAAAACTTGTTAGATTATATACATGAATCATTTGAATAAAAGACAAGGTATAAAGGGAAAATTACAATAGGTAGATAAGGTACACATGAATGCAAACAAATTGCTATTTACTTTCAATTTATAAAATTCCCTGCTTAATTTATACAATGTGTTGCTCAGTAGCTTTACTTCATGAACTCAAAAAAGCATCAACCAAAAAAAAAAGTAGAATACAAATAATATGAAAAAAAAAATTAGTAGCAAAACGTTTTGAAAACATACTCGATAGCATTCCATTTCTCATTCACAGTGTTTGGCGTTCTCCTCTGAAGCATCCTGTGCTCTGCCACCATTAGCTTTATGCTGTATATCTCTTCAAGTATTTCCTTACGATCTGGTGAATCGCGGAAATAGAGTTGACAAATACGCCCCTGCTCGTTCAAGTCCTCGTCTATGGTTTTCAATGAACAAGTTGCTTGCTCTGGATTTTTCTTTACGTCTGAAAACTTTCTTCTTATATCTTCCAGATCTTGTTTTACTTTATCAGTCAGCTCATCATTAGAAGCCTGACTGGCGCCAGCAAAATGTTGCCCAGTCGAGGAGTCAGCTTTTCGCTTACTCGAAGCACGAGAAGGGCTCATTGATTCTTTCACGTCACTGAAGCGATTTGATCTGTCTGTAGACTTTGGAGGAAATGTAGACACTGATGAGCGAGCACTTTTGTAATCTTGTCTAGAGTAGGATGGGGCTAAGCATGCTTGACCAGTTTTTGCCTCTGTTGCTTTCGCTTTATTATTTAATTCTTGTTCGCAAAGTTTGATTTTAGTTTGGATTTCACCAGCTAACACTGCAACCATCTGAGAAAGAGGTTGTCGCTCATCAGAGTTTTCAAACATTCCATGTAATATTTCTTGGTATTCTTTGACATCCTGTAGTATTTTCTTTAGCTCTAGGATGTGTACCTGACAGTCTTCTTTCAAACGGGTTTCAGTTTCTTGAAGTCGATGTCTGATATTGTCAAGAAATTGATTGGAATGCGACTTCAGATGAGGTAGCAGAATGTCTCTGGTGAAGCTTTTAAGTTCTCCAGCCACACTCAAGAATTCTGCTTTTGAATACTTCTGTCCGCTTTTGATAAGGGATATGAGAGTTTCGACTTGCTGACTTTTAACATTGGGCTTTGCATTTTTGTTATTAAAACGAACGAATCTGTACTTACACTCAGAAAGCAGTTGGCTTATCTGGGCATCATATGTCCTGTACCATTCCTCAAACTTGACGATGTTTCCTGCATCCTCCATGTCATATTCAAAATTGTCCCCGTGGGTAACAACGCAGACCCCGTATTTTCTAAGGACATCTTTTCCCAAGACACCCCTTATAATACTCATGGTTTCAATTTCTTGTTTGGTGAGGCAAGCTCCATACCTCAATACAATCAACAGGGCTGAAAATTGGTAGTCGCACAGTTCCAGAGCTTCTTTAATGGACTTAAGCGACGCCTCCAGTACTTCGTGTCCGTCTTTGCTGGTGTCAACCCCTGGTCCATCGACCACGTTTACCGTCCATTCTTTTATCCTGGAACTGTGTTTCTCAAACGGTGAAGCCAATGGAGTCGTGTTTGAGGTTATTTTGAAAGCATTTCTCCCCAGAATTGAGTTGGCCGTGGCGCTTTTACCGTTTCCGGCACTACCGAAGAGGATTAAACTGATTTCATTCGGATCAAATGGAATTTGCTGGAAAATACAGAAAAAGAAATATGTTAAATTATTATAATGTATATATAAATCAATTCTATTGATCAATCTTCAGGCCTTCGCAGTTCTTTCAATAATGAAAACCTTAGGGATGCTTTACGATGGATACATTTGTATACATGATCAGATGTATGTGAGGTCCAAAATTCAATATCCTGTAACTACCTTAAAAATGTATTGCAAGAAAAAAATATCCCCATTTAAATTGTCCCTGTGCTGTATAAGTTGTGAAGTACGTTGGAAAAAGCGGGTGTTTTTTTTTGTTTTTTTTAAATATGAATAATATGTATTTATTTGGATAATAAAAGTGTGGTAATCAACGCAAACATAAAACAGTTTGTCCTTTGAGTGTGGATATTTTGTGATGTACATAAAATACGTACCTCCATTTTCGTGGAAATGTTATTCACTGCACCTGAAAACTCAACATCTTCAGATAGCCTCATCTTCTTTACTCTTGACCTGTTTTCTTCATTACCAGAGAAACGTGTGTGCTTCTCATCAATATCTTCTATTGCCTTATTAATCATGATTCTGACTGTGGATGATTGGCCTGGCTCACGTAGCATTTGCTCTAAAATTCCTTTCACATTTTCGTAGGTCGCAATAAGACGTATTTCAGCTTCCCTTACAGTGCTCTTGGCTTCTTCAACCAAAGACACTACACTCTCCTCCTGGTTTCTTGACTTGACGTCCTCTTCGTTTTTATTTTGTATCCCCATAATTTCAAAATCCATATCACAACTGTCTTGTATAGCCTCTATCACTTCGAACTCACCCATGGTATCATCGTCGATTGTTTTATTGACCTTATTTAAGGTTTCTACATACATACGACCGCTTCTGATTTTAGATTTAATTTCCATCAGCAAGCTACGAACAACAACATCTAAGTGTTTTGCCTTCACCACCTCATCACCCAGTTTAAAATTAACATTCGACATGTGAACCTCAAGTTCGTTTTGAATCTCTTTTAATTGAGCGATGTCCAGCTCACTTTTACCTTGATTGAAATGCATCCTCTCTTTCACTCTCTCAACCAGCAAGTCAGTTTCTTCTTTTATTTTCGGGTACAACTTGAGTGACTCGAGTTGCTTCCGACCCTGTTCAGCGTTTTTATAATCTTCAAGAGTGTATCTCCTCTTGTTTTTTCTGACCAAGTTTTCAACAATGCTACAAAGATCCTTAATTTGTTCACTCCTTTCTTTTGGGGTTTTCGTTATATTATCAAACAATACACATCTCTCTCCGCATTCGTCGTAGAGGTCTTTCACTTTCCCCGTCTGCATCTGAAACCACTCACTGACATTTCTAAACGGTTCATCCTCGTTCTCCATGGCGTACTTAAAGTTATCCCCATGGGCTAACACACAGACACCGAACTCTTTCAAGACCTCATGACCAAATATGGATTTTAGCATCTCCACAACTTTTACGTCCTCCTCTCCGAATCTCGTTCCGAATTTCAAGACAATCAGCAGGGCAGAGAATCCGTCCTTGCACAAACTAAGGGCCTTTCTGACATCTTCAAACTCTGCCTCTTGGCCGGCACGGCAGATGTCAAGACCATCCACTACTGTAATCTCGATCCCGTTAAAGCGGCCTTTGCCGGTAGACGGAGACGTTGAGTCTGAGACGCTGCCGGCCTGCCGAGAAAACTGACTGCGTCCTATAATAGAGTTGGCTGTAGCACTTTTCCCGTTGCCGGTTTTCCCAACAATCAGCAGGTCAAAATTATTGTATGACATTGTCGGTCCGCTGGAAAAATCAGGGGGGAGAAAATTGATTTCAAACTTTAAAATTCATACATGGATCATACGCAAATATGAATGATAGAAAGTACCTCCCCAACAGATCGCAGTTATTTACTAAAAAAAAAAAAGCTTTGAATTTGTATACATTGTTACATGTTTGTTATCAACGCTTTTTGTCAATGTAATTATCTGAGGCACGCCTGAAGAGTGGCTTTTATATTAAAATTACATATTTCTTGTATGTTTTACGTGGCATTTAGAATGAAATCATATCTTTAAAATGAAAATTTTAATATTTGACTTTGTGTTTAATGATATAAATATTGTTGCATCGCTTTAAATTTATTAAAATTTTATGAAATATAAAAATTGTTGCTGGTATTAGATCTATTTTTTTCTTCTGACATATAGGATTGTGCTTAAATAAAGAGAAGAACTAGCGATTAAAAACCCATTGAATGTTATTAAACATACAAATAATACTTAAATAACGTTTGAATATAATAATTTTGGTTCTATATAACATTACCTGAACATTTACAGAGATACAAGTTAGACAATCTTATTTTTTTTTTGAGAAATTATTATTTTAGAGAAAACATTTAAAAATAGAACAAGTAGTCTGCAAAATTCACTATTTTTGGTCTGTTTCAAATTAGAAAGAAAAAAATTTAGAGAGCCAGGAATTCCTGTTATTAATTAATAAAATGACCAAAATTTTATTTACAGCATTACAAATACACACCTTAATTTAACTGTTATCAGTAACTTCAAAATGTATCTTTTAGGTGCCAGCCCACACAGTGCAGTCCAGATGTGTGTCAATTCTTCCTTGCACCAGACTTTTTTAAGGAAACACAATAACAACTAGAACGAGTCATTTCCCCAAGAATTATTGTAGTTTAGGGAAAACCCGATACGGTTTCCAATAGATTGATGTGTTGTTACGGGAAATGTGCAGGAAACTAATTTGTACGAAACGAATTGTACAAAACTAATTAATGTGTATGTTGTAGATGGGTTGTTCGAATATTAGTTAGTCTATATCGAAAGAAAGTCAGTTCGAAAGAAAGTTAAAGTTCGAATGGAAGTTTTTAGGAACGAACATTTTTTCGAAATAAAATAAGACGGAATTAATTCTTATTCGTTTCTTGCTATTATTGTTTTTATTTTTTCCTCTTATTTCTTACGTTCGAAATAATTTCCGTTCGAGCAACATTACGTCGTACAAATTGGTTTTTGTACACAAATCGTTAAATAACACTTTTTGTAGATGGCTAATAACACAAATAACACTTTTTGTAGATGGCTAATAACATCTTATTATTTAAGTTAGTGCAACTGAGGGCCGTAACTAAAATCTTCCTAGAAATGCAATGAGAGAATTGATATTCCACAGGGGAGTGCGTTAATATCAGAAAAATCCGATTCCCGCACATTGTCAAAAAAATGTGCCGCCCCCCCCTCCCGTAAAGATGCGTGACGTCATTTATGGATTGCCCGTTACTCTATGTTGTTAATAAATAGTAAATATAAAAAGTCATCACCGTTTATTTTACTTAGGCTTCAGTAAAACAAATTAACGTATGCAAAAATTTTTAAACTTCCAGTAGTCGTACAAGGTTTAAATCTTAGAGACCTTAGTGCTTAAGTCACAAAATACAGATTTTGAGATAATCAAGTTCAAATATTATTTTCGTCTGTAAAAGTGATCATTTTTATATTTGATCTTGTTTAATTAAGGGACTTAAGGCAGATTTTAATATGCTCAAATTTCTGCAGTACACTTGGCTAAACCAGACAAGAACATGTCACAGTTTAGATGGATTTTGACAAAAATGTGACTTAATTACTTCTACCACTATGGTTTTATTTTATTAGCTGAGTTAGAATATCGTTTCTTATATATAATATAGGCCTACATTTTTTGGAAAAAATAAATTAAGATAATCACCTTGAATGCCTGAAAACTTTATTGCTTAGAAATACTTAATATTAAAAGTAGCATGAGTGTTAAGACCTCTGTTTTAATCGTAAAAATTTACAAGCTCATACCTTTTAAATATAATATTTCTGCGTCATTCAGATAGAAAATATAAATTAATATAAATTCAATATTTTTATAAAACAGATTGCAAGAGATTGTCTAGACTCTAGATCACAGGAAATATATTTATCTGCATCTTGTTCTATTAATAGTGAAAGTGGGAGATGTGTTTTTCCTATCTAGCGTCTATTGCCTCAGCATAACGTGTTATTCAAAGAACTCTATGAATCAATGCAATATTTAAATACCTGTACCAAATTTTACCATGTCTACTGAGTGCAAATTTAATTTTTAAAAATAAAATAAATAAAAGTGAACATAAATATATATTTAAAATTACATAGATGTGCATTACACGTGTTCTATCATTTGCCACTAAAGAGATGTCATTCTCTGTCTCGTTGAACGCAGTAAATGGATAAACATCATAAATGGGGAAAGTTAGAGATTCGCCACTCTACAACAATAAATATATGCGCTTTTTTGAAGCTATAGCGCCAAAATTATGGCACAGTTGTCTCAATCTTTGAGGGGTATTGAAAATGATACAAACTCATTGAAGAAACTTTAAAGACACTTTTTCTTTTAATTGAATTTAGGACATAAGAGCGCTGCGAGCATGCTAAAATGGCGTGGATACAAAGGCTATAAAAAATTCATTTAATCAATATAGTAATCGTTTTGCCAAGTGTCAAAAAGCTACAATCATTTGTCGGATTGTCTTCATTTTTCTATTGATTGAAGGATCGAATTTGGGCAGTATTCTTTAATGTTGTTAATTAATAATAAACAGCCCCTTATACAGCTAACATTAGCTACTCAAATAAAATTATTTTTGTTCCTTTTCGTGATCAATATTTGTTGATATCCTGGTATATCCTGTTGTAATATTTCACTAAAGCTTTACGGATATCCTATAGTTCCAGTGTTTGATAGCGATACTTTAACTGGCATCAAAATTCTTACGTCATTGACATCGGTGTAAGAACTGTTGAGAATGGGTAGTCACCGGCCAATAAGGAACTTTAAAAATTGAACATAAACAAGCAGTTAATAGAAAAAGAGAAATGGACTATGTGCCAAATTTGAAGAATAATTATCACATGACAAAACATAAATATTACATTAGATCATGAAAACTGTATTTTTAAAAAGTAAAAAAAAAACAAACAAGAAATATGTTTTAATTAATCGTGGAAATTATTTGCAAACCAGATCAAATAGATTTTGGAATAAAGTAGCTAATTACAGAATTTTAAATAATTTCCGTCTTTCTTTTTAGATAAATACTTATAAATGGAGTCGCTCTGTCAATACTTTATGGTAGGGGCGAAGGTGGAAAGTGTTGTGAACATTGACCGGGGGGGGGAGGAGATGGATTAAGGGGAGATCTGGTATGGGGAAGGGGCGGGTGAGGTTGACACTAGGATTTCGGAAGAATAAAAATATTGTAATAATAATAATAATAATAAAGTTCATTTCAAAAAACACGCTTCATCCCCAAAGGCTCGAAGCGCGGTACAAAGTCAACAAAAAACAAATCTATAATTTACCACATTTAAAACAAACGCAACACTACAGAAACTAATTACAAGCATACAATCTCAAAGTCTTTCTAGCCATTTCAACCCTAAGCAACACAGCCAATATGCATTAACTGGAAAATAAGGTAAACAATTATCCCAGAAGGTGTTTGCGAAATAGTTGTGTCTTTAAATCGGTTTTAAAGGACTCCAGTGTCTGGTTGTTTCTGAGATCGACAGGAAGGGCGTTCCAAATGATACTATAGATTTTGATGTAAAGTTGGGATATGAGAGGAAGGAATGAGCACTACCAGTTTAAATACAATCGATTCCTCCGTTACACTTTTAACTATTTGCTTGATCTATTGCCATTGCTGGTTTATATCGACGGTGTTACATATTTTGGTAATCACAATAATAATGTGTCAAAATTAATGTTTATAAAATTTCGTGCACTTATTTTTAAATTATGACCTCTTTGTGCTAAAAAATTTGTGGTGACCACAAATTTTTTAATGGGTCGTGGCGTGTGTAACAGTTCAAATATTAACATAATAAATTGTTTCGTATAATGCATTATTTTCACAATTTAGAATTAACAGATGTCCTGCGTAGAAATATAAGTTGAATTGAAGAGATAAGATTCAAGTAAGTATAGGCTCTAGTCGTGTTTAATGTTCATCTCATAGCATCGTGATAGTTATCCAACAAATATGAGTGAATTATGTACATGAAGTAACAAGGCAATGGCAATTATGTTTCCTCCAGTTTAGGAGATTTATTTTAAGCTATGTGAAGCTTCTGTCAGTAGTTATCACCTTAAATTTTTAATTTTTTTAATTGTCATATGTTTGTAATGCTGGAAATTTAATGTTTTTCTCGGTGCCAAATGTTTGAATAAGCTTTATTGTTATAAAAGATGATTATTTAAAAGCTAAAACACTCGGTATTTCCGACAAAGTACACACTTTTTTTAGAGTTACTTTTAAAAGTTGCAGGTTTTTTAAAAGATGCTATTATTGGTGTCCAGTCCATTAGTTAAAATATTAAGTAGGCTAAGTTTATAAAGGAAAAAGTACAAAAATGTCTCATTAAATGTAACATGTTTAGAGTTATAGAACCCATATACTAATAGTTATTTTAAATTAACTTAGAAATAAAAAACAATTTCAATCATTTTTATTTTTTAAAAATATAATCGATGTATGTTTTTAAATCCTCGCAAATTGTTTTACGAAGTGTCCACACGTCCGGCGCCCCGGACAAATAGTACTGGAGAGATACGTCCGGCGGGCATGTCACGTAACCGCCGTATGACAAGTTGGAGAAATTCTTCCGTCGGGTACGTGACCACCCCGCCGGACGACTAGTGGAAGATTTTATATCGGAGGTAGACATGTCATGTAACAAGTGGTCGCCGGCAAAATAGTTGCATTGCTTTTTATATTCCAATATTGTGTATCTATATTAGCCTGCTGAATATTTGAATATTACACTAGTCGGCCTATATACTACCTAGTAGTACTATTACTAATACTATTACTAGTCTATTTGATTCCGATTCTTCAAAGAAAAAAAAGTTGCTTATCTTGCTTAAACATCTTGTAAAGCTCTAGCATGAAACCTACATTTAAAATATGAACCAAATAAAATAAGACCAGTAGACTTCAATAGACCTATTTCAATAAAATTGTATTTCAGGATAAGTATTTAGTATTACATGAGAAGTAGGCTAGACTACCACTATATCGGCCCTTTATTAATGATGTAGGGTATATTTCTTTGTGAACTATTGGCCTCCCCTCCTTAAAAGTAATTATTTATCACCTTCACTATTACTTTATAGCAGTCGTATTTTTTTATTACCGTTAATCTCTCTTCTTCTCAGCACTGCTTCCTTCTAGAATGCACTATAGCTCACTGCTTCCTTCTAGAATGCACTATAGCTTAACCCCCCCCCCCCCAACTTTGTTTAGTAAATTACTTGGTAGAGAAATAGATTTTAAAATTAACAATAATTTTGAATCATTCGCGGTCACGTGACAAGGCAGTATAAGTATTCTTCCGGTGGTCATGTGACGTGGTCGCCGGACAGATAGTGCGGGAGATATATGTCCGGTGCGCCGGACGTGGGGACACTACTTTGATATTTTTTTTAAAATAAATGTTTTTTTTAATTAATGAGGAGACAACGTAAACTCTATATCTTTTTATAGCTCTTATATTTAAAAAAATAAACAACATTTTTTTTGGGGGGTGTGGGGGGGGATAATGTTTAAATCATCATTTAAAACAGTCATTCTAGTTAATTACATAATTCAGCAGCCTCGGACACGTTTAATGATAATGATTGTTCATGTTCTCACTTTTCTTTCCAGTTTCCTGTGAGAATAAATGTATATAGGACAATATATATGTGTATATCAATCAAATACATTAAAGATTAATTATGACATACAAATAAATAAAAGTATTTGTAATATTAATTAAATCAAATTAATTAATTAAATAAAACTCAATTGTTTTTTATCTTAAATTTTTACTTTTTATAAAGGATGAAATCCAAACAATCTTTTAAGTCTTTTAAGTTTATTTATAACTTTTTCCAACTTATTTTCCTTTTCCTCGCATTCGTTTTTTTAAATTTTCTGTGGAAATAATGTAATAATTATATAAATTAGCTAGATTAAATAAACTATTTTAAACGGAATTAAATTATTAAAATATGTTGTCAGTAATAGGAAAGGGAGGGGGGGGGTTATTTATGTAATCAAATATGTCTAACATTCCTTGATACCTAATTCTCTATTCATAAATATAAGAGTGT